AAGAAAACATCGGTATTTGGGGTAAGTCTGGAGAGTTGATCTTTACTCCCAACTGCTCCACAACGGTGATTTTTGGCATCGGTATTCTCTTAAAGCTGCTGATGAAATCTGGCAAAGATAGTTTGTCTACCACTTGATGTCGTGAACCCTGTGAAAGCAATCCTGCTTCTCAGTCTCTTAACTTATAATTAATAAGTTAAAGATGGTTTGATTGCAAAGCTAAGATACTAGTTATTTGAATTAGTGTGCTCGGTAAGACAAGAGAACCTGTTAGTGAACATTTGCTAACAATTACTATGTTTGGCTTCTTCAGTTAGCAACTGGTTGCTTGGACTTATTCACTTCCGGAAAAATATACAATAAATTCGGTTAATTTGGGGACAATATCTAGTTATCTGAGCTGCGAAATAAACTATTTTTGTAATACATATGTCACAAGCATTGGAGCTAAACTAGTATAGGGTATAATCATTTTTTTCTCTTTATTACAATGATTAATTATTCTTAAAGATGTACAAATTGAATGAGTTAACAACAGTAAAATTATTATTTTGTCTTGACAGAGTTTGGGATCCTAGAGTGGATTTAGTTAAAGCTGATTGGTCAGTTCTTCAGCCGACATCGTACTTGCTGCCATTACTTGTAGAACTGTCTCCATGGCGATCTAAGTTTGCTGAAATAAAAGAAACTCTAGATTCAGATACTGATGTTGTTTTTGTTGCTGACTTTCCAGGTAACATAACCTATTATTATATTCTATACATTCATTGGGGTCTGTTCAACAATTGCAACTACCAATGGTCAAATGACCGCAGAAATCTTGTTGAGAGCCAGAGGGGTTTCATTCTCTCGGTCTGTGTCCACAGTTTCACACACATATGGAACTATGGTATAAGAAACAGTGGGCCAACAAAAATGGAACACTTTTTGCGGTTAAATCAAGTCTTGTGGCTCTTGATTCCCATTTGCACTCAAGGTCTATTACAACTCTTGTCATATGGCAGCCTGTTTCTGTATGTTATGTTATTTTGTCAGATATAGAGTATGTTATTGAGGATGCTAAATGTTTGATTGAATTACTTTCAGATTTATATTTAGAGAATTTTGTGAGTGAAGATCTTAGGAATACCAGTGTACAAGTATTGAGTGGAAGAATCCGTATTCATATAGAATCTAATGATACTAACGTATTTGTGTCTGAAGGAGAAAAAGTTCAAGTAAGCCCACAATGTATATATCTCTCATTAGTCTGAATCTCGCCATATGATTGGCTGAAGCATTCAATGTCTTATATCAGGCATTAGAAGACCTGAGTTTCTGCCACCAAAGTGAATAAACTGGCTTAAACGTCTACTGTAAAATACTTTATTTTAGCTGGAATTATTTTTCGCTGAAAAGACTTTTTGGGTGTTTTGTATGGAATTTATTTTCACTGAATTTTGATGAGCTGAATGTAAAATATAGGGAAAAAAGTATATTCGCTGGATTTTATTTTCACTGAATCATTCCTTCATAGCGAAAATTAATTCCAAGCGAAAATAAAGTATTTTACAGTATATAACTAAATAAATTCATATAACTGTCAGCACTATTTACAGTGATTGTGGGTTTATGATATACTGATCAAAACAGGGAATCCTAGTTTGAATTATTGTTGTCAGGCCTGTCGTCTGTTTTGTAAACTGCTTTGTTTATGTGTGGAAATAATATGTGGTCAGTATACTTCCAGTTTGTTGAAATATTCCGAAGTTGTTGTTGATTTCGTCATGAACCTCACCCATCTATAGCCCCGAAATTTAAATACAAATCTAGAAGTGCACTACATGGTGGGTAAATTCTGATTCGCCAAAATATATTAGAATGTCATTTTACCCAAATAAAACTAAAAATCGTATTTGTTGTATACTGAATCATTCAAATATTACTTATATTGACCGAAAAAAGAGCTCTATAATTTACATAACTGCATGCACTATAAATAAAGCAAATACGATGTATATCGTTAACTGCTATGATGTTTAGTGAAAATGATTCGTTAACATACATGTAGTTGTAGAAAATTACAATTTCTCTGTCTGGTAATCAGAGTTGGTCGTGTGATTAAAATGCAAATGATTGATACGAGTGTGTACTCTAGATAATTCTCATATTTTTCTGATAGCTTCCCGCTGGTGAATATCACAAAATATTTACAATATCTGAAACACCATCATGTTATATGTATATTTATGAAAATACGACTGAGATTGAATTTAACAAGAAAGTTAAAGAGTACCAGAAAAGGAACAGCTCTGAGCAAAGTACAGGTGAGTTAATTTATAGTGAGTCATATGTAAGCTATCTGCATCCTTTCTTTTTAAGAAAAATATAAATTCCAAATATGGAACAATTATGCAGTGTTTGAAAAATGGCAAATGTTCCAATAATTTCCACAAATTTGCTTGGTTCTATGCACTAATCGGTTGGATTATTGTATATTAATAATGAATAAACATGAATATCATGTATTTACTCGTAGTACATCAGTCGATACTCTCGCTGCGTTTCTTTGTTTATACTTTGCTGTAAACTTTCTCAAGACCAATACAAATTAGATGCAAATGTCATCTTCAGCAATGCGATACACCGAAAACTGGTTGAAACCAGTTCATAGTAAAACACATTGTAACAGTTTATACACAAATTCAAACAGCAGCATGGTGACTTTGACTATTTAATATACGTTTATCATGCTTTGTATAACTGTTTCTCTCCCATTATCAGATGATGCCAGTATTCATAACAACACAGACCTTGATACTGATCCTAATTTAGAAGAGAAAATCAAACTGAGACTGGAGTATATAAAATCAATTGATGTTTTTGAAAACAAGACAGCATTGGAAAGTGTACAAAATCTTTTCAGTAAAAGATATCAGCAATTACAGAGAAGGTAAGAAAAGAAACATATTATTATACCCCAAAATATTAACAATTTGTGCTATGCAGCTCTAGTCCTCGTCAGATGTAGTGTGCACCAGGACTTATGTTTTGGAGTTTCATGTTAGATCATCATCTTTTGTACATTTGTGTGAACAAAGTAAAGTCATAATAACACCGATATGCATGACAATTGCGTTTTCATTCATTGACATTTGACTGCTGGTCATTTTGTTTTTCAGATTGCATTCAAAATGGCCAACTGGTGGCCATTTTGTTTTTAATGAATGTGGTTCTAGTGCCATCATATCTCTGCCATGCTTTGACTGATTATGTTCAAATTTTATATATTCATTACCGGTATACATCATGACATAGATATATTGGTTTGAATATCTGATTCAAAATAGCCAAATGGCAGCCATTTTTGTGCTAGTAAATAGTAACATTAATATTTTTCTGTTTTTTGTTGTTGTTTTTTTTGCAGTGTTTATAAAACAGGAGAAGCCCTTCAGAATATAATATTTGGTGCTGAGCATTCAACACAGGACACTATGAGTGATTCCGCAGATGCCGTGCAGACACACTCAGATGATTTATAGTAGTCATAGCAACTACTGGAAATATCAAAACATATCATACCCTGTAAGAATTCTTAGACTATTTGTTGTATTATTTATAGTAAATTTGCTTTTTATTGAGCCAAGTGAAATTGATTCAGAGAAACAAGGATACTTTGTTCTCCCTGGGTGCCTTTTAATCGCCATCCTTTGTTAGTCCCCGTTCTAAAAAACATCAAAATCAAGAATTTCTCAGCTGTTTACAGATGGATTTTGTTCAAACTTGGTATATACGTTGGACATTATAGGACCTTGATGCACATCATTTTGTTTTCAGATAATATTCAAAATGGCTGACTGGTGGCCATTTTGTTTTAATAAATGTGGTTCTAGTGCCATATCTCTGACTGGTTGTGTCTGGTTATGTTCAAATTTTAAATATTCATTATACATTATGTCATAGATATACAGATATATTGGTTTGACGATCCTATAAAAAATGGTCAAATGGTGGCTATTTTTGTGCTAAAAAATCATCAAATATCAAGCATTTCTGGCATGCATGGCTTGTTACCATTGACACATTTTTTTCATAAATTTACCAAAATTTGGATCAAGCTGTGTACCCAGTGGGAAACTATAACTATAACTATTTAGTACAAAATATAAAAATAAATAAAAATAGACAAAATATTTTACCTACTTTTTGGCGGGAAAAAATCATGGCACATAAAGGGTTAACCATCAACTGTTGTCACCTTTCACAATGCATATTCTAATTAATCATCATTTTATGCTAATTGGTCCATATTCAAACAAAGTCCAAAAACTGGGACTTACCGATTGACCTCTGTGCGTCTGTTCATCCATCCATATCCAGTCATATCTGCTTGAGCTGATCAAGTTCAAACTTCACAAATACTTCATACATTTTATCTGCAATACATGTTTGCACAATTGACTTTTTTTCACCATTCCAGAAACCAATCCCAGTCTTTCATGCATAGATTTTGCTCAAACTTGGTACATACGTTGGAACCTCGATGCACTCCATTTTATTATTCAGATTGGCTTCAAAATAGTGGATAAACATATTTTTGTCAAATCCAAAATGGCTGACTGGCAGTCATCTTGTTTGAGCAAAGGCACTTCCACAAAGCCATATCTCATACATACCTGGACCAATCAGGTTTATACTTCACAAATACCATGTACATCACACAGTATGTCACATACATGTATATATCTTGCATCTATAATACAAACAATGAGTTGTTCATCACAATAGCAAATTATCACCCTACTTTGACGTAAAGCTGAGCAGAACACTGTAATTTTTTTATATTATTCAGGTTCAAATTAGTTTTTCATATGTTCTTTAATGCTCTTTATATTACTTTATCTGTTTTGTGAATGTGTTTGTTAAATATCTACTCCTCTGACAGCTTTCATATTCAGTGTGTTTCTCTGAATGTTTTTTTTTTATTTCTCTCTGTGAATAAAAAAATGGTTATGAACTTTATTCTTTGAAGATCAAGCAGTGTATCTAGACATTGAGTGGTATATAACAAGTGGAATGTCACATAAATTCTAGGCTACATGTATTTCAACAACGAGATATTACTAGCACTGTACCTAGGCATTAATGGAGTGATATATAACAAGTGGAATGTCACATAAATTCTAGGCTACATGTATTTCAACAATGAAATATTACTAGCACTGTACCTAGGCATTAATGGAGTGATATATAACAAGTGGAATGTCACATAAATTCTAGGCTACATGTATTTCAACAATGAGATATTACTAGCACTGTACCTAGGCATTAATGGAGTGACATATAACAAGTGGAATGTCACATAAATTCTAGGCTACATGTATTTCAACAATGAAATATTACTAGCACTGTACCTAGGCATTAATGGAGTGATATATAACAAGTGGAATGTCACATAAATTCTAGGCTACATGTATTTCAACAATGAGATATTACTAGCACTGTACCTAGGCATTAATGGAGTGACATATAACAAGTGGAATGTCACATAAATTCTAGGCTACATGTATTTCAACAATGAGATATTACTAGCACTGTACCTAGGCATTAATGGAGTGATATATAACAAGTGGAATGTCACATAAATTCTAGGCTACATGTATTTCAACAATGAGATATTACTAGCACTAAACCTAGGCATTAATGGAGTGGACATATAACAAGTGGAATGTCACATAAATTCTAGGCTACAGTTCTAAGTTCAACTTCTTACATTTTTTCCATAAGAAATATTCTCTTTTGAATCAAAACAATTAAAAAACAGATTTTGTTGTGCTATGTATAACACAAATCTGGAAATGCTTTAATTTTTAATTTGTGAAATTGTATTAAGTTTTTATATTGTAGCTTATTGTATTGTCAGTTTCATAATATATATTTTGTCCTTAATGAAATAAAACATTGCAGTATGTATAATTGCATTTTCTGTTTTTCTATTCGTTTCAACCTTCCATATAATAATGGCAGAATGTTGTGTGTGTGGCTGATCAGTCATCATTGTGTCTTTCCTGGTCTGAACATTTACTAATACGTTCAAAAAAACAAAAAAACAAAAACGCTATTATGATCATGATATGTATCTGATGAAATTCTCTTTATGACCGAAGCATTGGCATTCCTGCTCCTGCTTTCTGATTTGCAAATATGCAATTGTATTGAAATGTGACATTAGAAATAAATGTGTCACAACCTTGTGTATTTTTTAATGTGTTCAACAACCCCCTAGAAATCACCAACTTTTTTTGTAGCAATGCAGCACTGAAACATGATAGATTAAGAGGCCATTGATTTGAAATTGCTGTTCAAAAGTAGTTCAATCAAATATAGAGCGCCCTCATTTCTGTGGTGTTTTGACATACCTCTTTATGGGCGGTAAAGTTTTTTGAAAGCAATAAAAACAGTCTGAAAAAAATTTCCCTTTCAAAGACCAAAAAGTTGCCTGACACGTCACAAAAGTTGTTTGCGAAGTTCTAGAAGTGGCTTTTAGACGGCAGGTTTTTTTAAATGTCAGGAATGCATTTTGCGAAGTTACAATGTCACTTTCAAAACATGAAAGTTGCCTGAAAAGTCACGATGGCAATTGGCAAAGTTTGAAATATAGCTTTCGATGCAGGGAAAGGAAAAGTTACTTAAAAGATTATGGAAGGCAGAAATATTCCCTGGAAAAACACGAAAGCCACATGCAAAGTTCGTAAAGTCGCTTTTAATGATTTCCTCGGCAATTATCTCGGGTGGTGGACTGTGCTGTAAGGTATATGGTTTGTCCCCTCGGATATACGTGTATACGTTGTTTGTGTGGCGCCCTCATCGTGACTAGATGGAAATACGCAAGGTGAATCTGTTTACTAGTGGCGAGGCTCGACGCCGTGTGCGTGAGTTTGAATCTTGTGTTTCGCCTGTTTATTTAAGTTTGAAATGCCAATTTCAAGGTCGAAAGAAATTTATGAAAGCTAAAAAAAGTCAGCAAAGTGCAAACAAATCGTTTTCGCTTTTGATGACATGAAAGTTACTTTAAAAGTTTGCAAGGAAAGTTTGGAGAGTCGCTTTGGACGGCGGGAAAGTCACTTGAACAATTTGACTGATAAGTCAAACAAGTCATTTGCAAAGTTCTGAAAGTCGATTTTAAAGGCTGGAAAGTTACCTGGGAAA